CTAACTCTGACAAATTTTAAACAAAGGTACATGAATGAGAATTTTCTTAATGTATAAGAATTAAGATCTTTTTTAGTCTTTACCTAGAAACTCAATATTCATTCCGAAATTGGTAAAAAAAAAAAAAAAAATCCTCGACAGACATAAGATTAATAAACAAAAAGCCAAAGTGTTCATTTATTAATTATGTATTAGAGTTGAATTTATTTTGAGTCATTTTGCCATTGCTTAGATCTGTCTCCACTGTAAACCAGTTATTTCCTTCCTCTCTTCATCTCACCACCCCATAGGCAAGCTTACCTGGTTCCTCAACTTTTCCGTTGCACCAGCAAATAAAAATTCATATTAGAAAAATTGCAAATCATATACGAAGAAGATATTATCGCCCCGACTGAATGAGATAAGCGGATTGTGAACCTGTGTGACTTTTACTTTCAAATTATGCCTGGAGAAATTTCAGAAAAGTATGAAAAGCGGGGTGGGGGTGGGGGGAATGTGATTTTTAAAATCTGATGGAATTTATTGAATGATGACAGAGTTGTGTAAACGACATAATTGAAATACATTTTTGTTGGGGAAAAACATAAGGAGCAGGGCGTTTACACACATCTACTATTGTTAAAAATGAATAAAAGCACGGTGTTTCCAGGTCTTTTTTTTTTTGTAAAATGGAAAGAGGAGGAGTTGGTTTCCACACATTTTCTGTTGTCGAAGGTATAGTGGGACCTTGGCGGTGATGAGTATGTATTGTAGAACACCACATGTGGGTAGAATTTCCTGCTAGCCAATCCAACTACATGATAAAGTTGGACTTTAATTAAGTCCAAAGAAGACAAAGAAAACCAACAAGACCGATAAATATATGTAAATAAATATATGTATTGACAACAAGTACAAGTTACAAGCACATGGACAGTTACATTGAGTGCGTGTAGTGAATATTGTGTGTGTTGTGTTGTGTTGTGGTGAATGTTCGTACGTACATGTATTGTTCTTAGCGTGTTCCCTGCATTTGGGAAATGCTGTATCTGTAATAGCTCACATCTGCGAAGTGGTATAAGGCCCAACGCTAGAGGGGAAAAAGAGATCGAGGCAAAGGGTCAGCCAGTATTTATATCCAGGGGAGAGAGACCCTTGGTGAAGGGTTAAGGAGCTGAGGAAGAGCTAACTCTGACAAAGGGAATATCTTCCGTTGTCAATGGGAACAAAAAGAGCAGGACGTTTTCCATGTGTCTTCCGTTGTCAATAAGGTAAAAAGAAGCAGGACGTATCCACGTAACTTCTGTTGTTGGATACGAAAGGAGCATGGTGTTTTCTGTGTCCTCTTGTTAAATGGAAGGAGTAGGGTGTTTTCTGTGTCCTCTTGTTAAATGGAAGGAGTAGGGCGTTTTCTGTGTCCTCTTGTTAAATGGAAGGAGTAGGGCGTTTTCTGTGTCCTCTTGTTAAATGGAAGGAGTAGGGCGTTTTCTGTGTCCTCTTGTTAAATGGAAGGAGTAGGGCGTTTTCTGTGTCCTCTTGTTAAATGGAAGGAGTAGGGTGTTTTCTGTGTCCTCTTGTTAAATGGAAGGAGTAGGGTGTTTTCTGTGTCCTCTTGTTAAATGGAAGGAGTAGGGTGTTTTCTGTGTCCTCTTGTTAAATGGAAGGAGTAGGGTGTTTTCTGTGTCCTCTTGTTAAATGGAAGGAGTAGGGGCTGTGTCCTCTTTTCTGTGTCCTCCTTGTTAAATGGAAGGTGTAGGGGCGTTTTCTGTGTCCTCTTGTTAAATGGAAGGGTTTTTAGGGCATGGTTTTCTGTGTCCTCTTGTTAAATGGAAGGAGTAGGGCGTTTTCTGTGTCCTCTTGTTAAATGGAAGGAGTAGGGCGTTTTCTGTGTCCTCTTGTTAAATGGAAGGAGTAGGGTGTTTTCTGTGTCCTCTTGTTAAATGGAAGGAGTAGGGTGTTTTCTGTGTCCTCTTGTTAAATGGAAGGAGCAGGGCGTTTCTATGCGTCTTGTTAAAAGGAGTAGGGTGTTTCCTTCTGTTCTCAAAGAGAACAAAAAGGTGCAGTGCATTTCCACATGTTTATTTATTAGAAATAAAGAGAGTACGGCATTCTTATGTCTTCTGTTATCGAAGTAAAAGAAATGAGCATTGGTATTGTCACATATCTTCTTTTGTCAAAGAAAATGAAAGAAGTCATTTCCATGCATTTTCAGTTGTTGTGAAATGAAAGGAACAGAGCGTTTCCATGTATCTTCTGTTGTCAGTGGAAACGAAAGGAGAAGACCATTTCCACATATATTTAGTTCTTAGAAATGAAAAGAGCAAACATATTTCTATGCATCTTCAGTTATTGAATATGAAAGGAACAGTGTTTTTACGTGTTGACAGTTGCCGAAGGAAACAAAAGGAGCAGGACGTTTTCCTGCATCTTCAGTTGGATATGAATGGAGTAGAGTGTCTTCATGAGTGTTTTGTTGTTAAAGGAAAAATAAAAGAACTGGGCGTTTTCATGCGTCTTCAGT